ACCGCACAAAGGGATTCATTTATCTCTTTGTCTTTCATTTCTCATGCCAAAAATGGTACAACTATAAAAATCACGATTTTTCAACGGTATACATTAACAATTTGTTTCACGGTTTATTACGGATTAGCCATCGGCATAAAGTGACGAATGTGCGGAAGGGATCGTAACGACAAACGAACGAACAGATGCGAAACAGATTTGTACATTTTGAAGAAAACGAGGAACGAGGTAGGTAATTCAAATTAAAGTCGCAGTTGAGCGACGGTGTACGACGGTAAATTCGACGCGATTGAAATCCGAAGATAACAACGTATCCAGACTTTTTGATAATGCGTCATATGTTGTTTCGACGACTTTTCGAGTCGTCATTCTAACCTAACCTAATCTCTCCATCCGCGCCAAATATAGTCTATAACTCATCCAAAAATCGTGCTACGCTTGAGGTCTACTCCGATAAGAACTTAGGAGGCCGGAAGTACGTTTTGTTGTAAACGACAAAGGAATTTCAGAAATTCCAGAGCTTATCGCGTTACATCTTATGTCGTAGACGAAACGTGCAAAAAAGCAGGAGAACACAGTTGGATGCAGTTACCTAAACTAACCTCAACTAATTACGACGTACATACGTTGAGTAGTTTGAACAAGTGAGTGAAGAAAGCAGTTGTTTTTCTTAACTTTATTATTTCACTTTCGATTTGCGCAGTGTACTTTTCAACTACATTCTACTGCCTTTTAAGAATAAAAATCCGGACATCTATTCGAGCCTAATGACAATCAATGTCAATATGCGAGATAATACAGTAGTGCGTGACTCATCGTCGGCGAATGGAATTCTTAGCGAGTTAGTTTTAAATTTAATTTTCGTCAATTGATAGTGATTAAGTTATTAAACTAAAATGTATAACAATATGATGTTAGATCCTTGGAAATAACGAATAGGAATCAATATACACTTTCAGTACTGGAAGTATAAGTCTGCTTTTTATTTCTACATTAGAAGTTTCTCTTTCGTCATATATCAAATACATATTTTACTTTGTGTTCCAAAACTATTACATTAGTTCAGCTATAGAAAGTAGATATATTGCAACATAGCCTAGATGTTTTCACTTTTTAAACGTTTAAATGCATCTCTTTCAATTTAATATACAACATTTTGTGTGTACATTATTTGCTGACATCTTTTATATGTTACATAAAATTGTAATAAAAAGTGTGTATTGCTTCCCATTTACACATTTACTGATTCTCAGATAATTCTCACCTGTGACATCGTAACTCAGTTGAATGAACATTCCTTTTACATCTGAGAAGTGAAATTTAATTGAATTTTTACCTATAATCTGTATAAGCTCGAGACCTTGTATTTTACTAGCTTTCTCTTAAAAATAAGGTTATGTTACCTGTGTTGATATGATAACTTTTCACCATAGAAAACAAGTAATGACATCATTAATCTGAGTATAAAATACTCAGATCACTTCTGACTTTGTTTCACTTGTGTATAAATGGAAAGCAACTATTATAGAAGAGAGAACAATATTGAATATAATTTCTTTTACATAAAAATATAAGATTCTTATTAAAAATATAGTGTTATTCGTTTTTATGCAAATAGTTTAGTTGTACTTTCAGCTATTCCAGTCAAGGCCCATTTTCACAATATATGGTACCTAAACATTAAAGATTACCAACAGATTTATCAATAAAATTCATTCATAAATTTCTTGATTATCTCTAATCGTATATTGTGAAATCGGACTTAATTTATAAATATATAGTCAAATATTTTATTAACAGGCTGCAAATTAATCCAAATTGTCAACTTATACCAAATTACTAATAAAATGTAATTGAAATGAATATTTGTAATAAATATAATTATTATAGAATAGATTAATCAAAAGTATGTTAAATTTTGTGTAAAAATAATTCTATATATATAAATACAAAAAAGGTTTTGAGTAAATACTTAAAAAAAAATTCATTGGAAAATAGTGTATAAAGTTATATAAAAAGTAGACTATTCAATTTAAACCCCATTTAAGTATATAGAAAATCTTTCTTTACCTCTTTTAATGTGTTCTAAAATAATATTTTGTCTGTGTGTTTTTACCAAAAATAAAATCTATTTTTGGTAAAAATTGCTATATTCAATAATTTTAAATAAAATTTGATAACACACTTCATGCAAGTTATTCTGTATATTTTAATGAGCTTCATAATCCACATTAAATAAATTGCAGATGGATATCTCTGACGAAGAACTGTTTGATGTAAGACCAAGTTGTAGTACTTCTACAAGTTTGAACGTGACGGGAACAAGAGATTTAATGCAGGATCCAGTACAAGAGAAAGATTCCAATAGTATCTTAACCAAAGATATTGCAGTAAAACTTACACGTTTACAAAGTGCAAAAGAGAAAAGAATAAAAAAAATGTTAAGCTCTAAGAGAAGAAATAGATGGAGACATGGTTTGTTAAAAGGAAAGTTTTCTAAAAAAAAGAAACAAAAAGTTCCTTCTTCTAAGTCTTCGAGTTCTCAGCAAGCATTTCGAAATACGGAACCTGTTACAGAAGCTATATCGTCAGAAAACAAAGGAAATGAACAAATAAATACACACTTGCATAACCAATTGTGTCAAGGAGAATTGTATGAAGATGTTCAACAAAATGAGCAAAGAATAAGTAACGTTGCACAAAACAAGACTGAAAATTTTAATTTATCACCGTGTAAGACGGAGAAAGAAGATTTGTGTGTCAATGTATCTTATGCATGTGCACGTACTTTACCATATAAATTTTATCGGAAAAACATCATACCTAATAGTGCAAGCGCAATTGACTATTGTGATTCTTTATCATCATCAAGTAGCAAGGACACAGAATCGAGTTTGCATAGTAACCAATCCAACCTTACTGGTTATTTATCTCATAAAGACACAAGGGTAGCGAACACACTGATTCGTTTAAGATTGAAGCTTATGGCTAAAAAAATGAAAAAGAGGCTGAATGAATGGAAATTTAAAAGGAAAAGTGCACACAGCGATAAATATTCGTCTGACAGTGAAATAGAAGAGCAACATGTACCAAACAAAAAACATCGAAGAATAGTATTCATGAAAGAATCTGATAGTGAAAATGAAACTGTAAATAATACGACAGCAATTGAGAACAATAATCGGAGTGAATCTCACTTATCTCTTGATACAAAGAAAACATGTATACAGTTTAGCTCTCCAGCGAAGGTTATTTTAACAAAATTAGAAAAAATGGAAGATGAAGATGTGATTAAGTGGCGAAAGAGCAAAATAAAGCCTTCAGATATTGCATCTGAATCAGTAGAAGATCAATTAGAGCGACGAAAGTTGTCACGAAATTTGGTAGCTTCAAACTCTCAAGACAAATTAATTTTGTCAACAGTAGATTGGTTTTCGGAAACACAAGATATTTCTAAGGATTCTCCATTGACCAATAGTTACACTGATAAACGAAGATATGCACTAAAGTTAAAGTTGAATAAGCTACGGAAGAAATACAAGCTGTTCAAAAAACCTAGAGTTCTGCTAATAAAGCTAGATTTTTTACAATGTTCTTCTAAAGATGGTAGATATTCAGCGACCGAGATCGAACGTTTAACAAAGAAATATCTAAACTCTCTCTTTGTGATAAATTCCATTTCCAAAAGTAAACCTCATGAATTAACGATGTATAAACACTTGCGCTTGCAAAGCATAATGAGCGCAAATACCACTTGCATGGAAGGTCATAATATAAGCTCTAGTTTATCCAGGGAACAAAGTATGAAAGAAAGCCTTAAACCATGCTTTATCGAAGAAAATTCAATAAAAGGTATGACTCTTTTTTTAAAATAATCTTAATTTTATCTTTTTATAATTATTTTTAAATTAAGAAAAATAATCCTATTTTTGGTCAAAGTGAATGCTTAATAATACTAATATGCAAATTTTTGCAAATATCTACTTTTTTTTCTTCAGTTTTATAAACTGTTTATCAATTTGGTTTGTTGCGAGGGGATAATCACTAGTCGAAATATATCACAGATTACATGGTTTCATATGATTTTATCTGATTACAAATAATTTTCTTCGTTATATATGAAATCATTTGGTAAAATAAATGATTTTATCTGATATTATGTACAATGCTTTCTCGTGATTTTAATTATATACTGAGAGAAATCGAAATATAATTGTGGTAAAATTGACAACTTTTACAATTTAAGTATTTGTAATTAGTTTTACAAAATAAAATAGCAACTAAAGTAGTACTGAATACTATAAAAAATATATCACGATAATAATATTGTAGGTACTATTAATTGGTAATGAAATAATGACTCAACTACACTGAGTAGTTACTTTTGACTTTCATGAAAATAGATATAACAATTATATTTTTCTAGTTTAGACAAAAACTTTTTTTTTATAAAGTCGTCTATGTCATAATTAATCATTATTGAAGTAACTTTAAGGAATACATTCAAAATCTTTTTTCTAAAGTCGCTCAGCACGAGCAGTAACGCGATTAATATTGATTCAGAGGGACATAGCAGAGAGCTCAGTTTCTCTTAGGAAAAAATTACTCAGTTCACAATAAAAGGCGCAGCATTGAGTTCAAACTTGGAAGACAAAAATAAATAAAAAATGCATACAAAAATTTGTAATTGTGTGTGTGTGTGTGTGTGTGTGTGTGTGTGTGTGTGTGTGTGTGTGTGTGTGTGTGTGTGTGTGTGTGTGTGTGTTTTTTATA